GCTCAGAGCAGTGAACTTTTCCTCTGCAGCTGAGATACCCCAAACAACACCCCACCCCCGTTAATTTTCTCCTTGCACCGGAGCAGGGCATGAGCCCACCCACGTGCCATTTCTCCGGCTGGTGGTTTGCGGGAAACAGGTTTGGGAGCAGCTGCCCAGGGTGGACCCCACTGGAGAGGGTATTCTGTTAGTAGCGAGCCCCCCCCCAAACTCCCCTCAGAGGAGGCACCCAGAGGAAGGTCTCAGATAAAGATAGGAAAGTCGGTTCCTACTGGGAGAGGAGCCCTGAAAGATCCTGGGGTCCTGATCCGTACCGGGCTTCTTAGGTCAAAACCAGCACTTGAATTGGGTTTGGCAACTTCCAGACAGCAAGCTCCGCTGTGGCAGGATTGGTGAAATAGGAGCTGCTTGCCTTGAGCCTGCCTGTGATTGGGCGGCCACATTGCACACCACTTGCAGTTTCTGAACCAACTTCCAAGGCAGCCCCACAGAAAGCGCATTGCAGGAATCCGACCTCAAGGTTACCAAAGCAAAGGTGGCGGCTGCAGGCAGGTTGTCCCAGTCTAGGCAGCTTAAGCTGCTGGAAGACCCTTTGCCCTACTGTGGGCACCTGTGTCCCCAAACGACAGACAGGCTTATTCAGAGGACGAGCCCTCAGACTCTGAGAGTTTGGAGGTACATGGAGCACAGGGGTTGCAGTTAGAAAACTGTGAACCTCCAAAACGTCAGTCCATGTCCTAGCAAAGGTGGTGTCAAAGTTAACTCATTGAAAGACCCAGGAGCCCCACCTCCACTCCCTTCCTAGGAATCATTCCAGGCACATAAGAACATAAGGAGAGCCTGCAGGATCAGGCCAATGGCCCACCTAGTCCAGCATCCTGTTCTCACAGTGGCCAACCAGATGCCTCAATGGGAAACCAGTGTGGGAATGTTCAGGGATGCAGGAAAGGATATATTGTTTGATTATACCCTTTCCAACTTGTGTAAACAAGTTCACAATTTAGCAGAGTAACATTCCCCTTTTAAAATTCACAGTGGATGCGTTTGCTCAGACTCGCTAAAGCCTCTCTAATAACTGTTCTGGTATTTTTTCCTTATTCTCTCCATAAAAGATAAGACACAACACAGTTGTCTATAAAAGTATAAAAAGGTTTACTCACACATCATTCTGTTCACAGTCGGATCCCAGAAGGCAGACTTAGCTTAGAAAAGTAACATACACCTGGAAACTATCTCATAAGGAGACAGTCCCTTTGTCCTCTCTTGGCTGGAGGCCAAGAGAGCATCTTTGGCTAAGCAGATGTTGTTTCTTTGATGCATGTAGTCAAAGAGAGAGAGATGGCTGCCCTGTCCTGTGCTTTTGTCGTTACCTGCACAGGTGAGGCCACGCCCACCTCTAGTCACATGCAGAGGAAGTCTGTCCCAGCCCAGAAGGAAACAGGAAGTTGACCTGCTGGCTGGACA